AAGAGAAAAATTTCTCTTAGGAAGGGATTCGAACTCGATCAGGAGACCGAAGAGTCTACCACTGCGGCCACCGCTGCTGCCTAACTAGCAACAAATAATTCGAATATCTTCATTTCGAAACATTTCGCAACAAGAGTACTATCTTGTTAGTTCAAAAACCGAAGTTTTTCGACATTATAAAACATTCCTTTCTTATTGGTTTGGAAATAATAACAGCTATTTTGCTTGAGTAATATTCGGCTTCAATTCTCAAGTATCCTGTTTTAGTTTTAGAAAATGTTCCCTACAATTTTAAATAACCAAATAACTCGGAAATGATGTACTTAAAATTCTGCAACAAACATAGAAAAACAAAAGCGTAAATCTGTTTTTTGCCATCTTTGATCACCGTTAAAAGATACATTTTTATCTTACTCGTCCATATACAGGGTGACTTTGAAGTTGAGTCATTAATTTTCAGATAATGATTGTAGAAGGAGGATAAACCAAAATATGTGTGTAAAAATAAAAAAAAATTAAAAAATTTTTTTTACCTTGTTTTATAAAGTATCCTCCCGACAAGTATTTCAGTGCGGACCTGTATTTGATCGTGAGGTCCCCTGTGAGGTCTTAAGTCACCTGATTCACGAGCCCGTTGTACTACATTAACAAAGGCAGTTGGTTACACTCGATTGGGAAACCGATCCGCATAAACATGTGCCATTTTTTATTTCGTTTGAGCCACGCAACAGACACTATTCACACGCGACTGACACTGACTGTATGTATAACTGAACTGAATAAAATAATAAATTGTACAAACATCGTTCCAAATTCTTTCGCTTTTTTGTTTCCGATGCGATGAACCGGTAAGGCGGATTATATCCGTTGTTGCCAAACACGAGCACATGATATTGAGACAGGGCAGTACTCAAACTTCCAAAGGGCTATAACTTTGTTACTTTAATTTTACCAGAAAAATGGTAAAGGAAAAAAACATTTCTTTTGATCAGATCTACTCACTGTTAAAATAAATGACTCAACTTCGAAGTCACCCTGTATACGAGCATGTTACCGGCAGTCTATATAATACGGTATTCTACATAATACCTAGGTAAAGTATATAATACCTAAAACGTGTAGGTAATGTATGAAATATTATTTTCATTATACTTTGCCTAGGCATTCTATACAATACCGAATGCGCAGCCGGTAATGTATGTAAAAGACGAGAACAAGGAAGAGTTTGTGCACTTCAAAATGTCACAATAGTTCCTCATGTAAAAATAAATATTTTTTTCACTTAATTAAAATTTTGACTAGGCACTAACCCTACTTATTATTTTCAGAGGATTGTTCTGTTTGTTAAGTACATGTAAGAATATTTTTTTATTCAATTAAAATTTTGACTAAGAATTGTTTTGTTTCTCAACTTTTTTATACGTATTACGTACGTACTTGAAGGCAAAGAAAATTATTGTTACTGATAGCTAGAATAATTTAGTAACAGAAAGATGCTTTTTTGTACCCTTTTCATAAAGCTTATTTTTAAGGAGCACTCTAAGTGTTAATTTTAATACAGTTTAATACAGTTGATTTTAAATAATATAACTTGACTCATTTGCCCGTCATTTTCTAGGTATGCCGGTTAACATTGTTAAACTTAGACCAAGATCTATATATTTTACACACTGCCGATGGAACAGCTGGTACTCTATACAATCCCTAGAAATCGTATTCATTACCTAGGTAAAGTATGGGGTTGTCCAAAACGGACGCAGGAAAGTGAACGCACATTAAAACAAGAAAGATTGATATTCAAATCAAGTTGGGTCCTTTATTTTGAAGGTTCATTTATACCATTTATGTATGAAAAATAATATCGCTCAAATGTTCACCACGACTGGATTTACAGACGTCTACGCGATGGTCGAAATTTTCAATGACATTTTGTAACATGGTCGGTTCTATGGCATTTATTTCGGCAATGATGTTGTTTTTGAGTTCTTGGAGGGTGGCTGGTTTGTTGACGTAGACTTTGATTTTCAAATATCCCCATAAAAAGAAGTCCAAGGGAGTCAAATCGCACGATCTTGGTGGCCATGGCACATTTCCTCTGCGCGAAATCACGCGATCACCGAAGAAGGACTGCAATCGATGGATATTGACGTTGGTTGTGTGGCATGTTGCACCGTCTTGTTGGAAATAAACATCGTCCATATCCATTCCTTCAAGTTGCGGCAAAAAATAGTCCTCTATCATCACGTGATATCGCTCAGAATTGACGGTAACGGCGTCCCCGGCCGCATTTTCGAAAAAGTAAGGTCCGATGATGCCTTTTGACCACAACGTACACCACACAGTCACTTTTTGAGGATGCATCGGCTGCTCTTGATACTCATGGGGATTTTCGTTCGCCCAGATGCGGCAGTTTTGCTTGTTTACCGTCCCATTCAAAGTGAAATGCGCTTCGTCGCTGAACATGATTTTTGATGAAAAATTGGCATCAATTTGGCGGTGTTCAAGGAGCCAATCTGAGAACGTTCGGGGCGAAAAATGGTCGGCCCGACGCAGCTCTTGCGTCAATTGGATCTTGTAGGCGTGTACATTCAAATCCTTGTGGAGAATGCGGAGCAAACTGGTTCTCGAAATGCCCAATTCTTGGGATCGACGCGTTGTTGATTGTTTCGGATCGTCTCTCACACTCTCACACTCTCCTTCACAACAGCAATATTTTCCGGTGTGCGAACGCTCCTTGGTCGGCCAGAGCCTGGCAGATTTGCCACAGAACCTGTTGCCTCGAATTTACGCACCAGACGACCGATGGTTGTTTCGTTTGGGCGGTTGTTGCGACCGAAATGTTAACGCAGCGCGCGAAACGTGTTTTTTATTTTTGCACCATTTTTGTAGTGCTCTTGAATAACTTTAATGCGGTCTTCAATCGAATACGACTCCATAGTGATCAATGGTAAACATTCAACTAACAAAATGACATGTCGGTGACAGAAAACAAAGATGTCGTCTATGTCAAATTGACGTTTACTTTCCTGCGTCCCTATTGGACAACCCTTTATATGTAATGGATGATACTATTCATAATATTTCATACATTGCCGCGACAACCCAGGTATTCTATACATTGCCTAGGTGTTCTATAGAATACCTGAATTATACAGATTACCGGTAACATATACATGTTTTTTCCTTTATTTTGGCGAAAAGTGAGGTATTTTTCGTAATTTGATTAGGCACCTCACGCAACAGCAGTGGGCAGAACGTATAATTACTGATATAATAGACTAGATAGTATACTGGCGTTATCTCGCCTAGCTAACAGTTTGAGAACCTGTAAAAAATCATGTTAACCTCACCCGAAATGTGAGTCAAGGAAATCGTGAACGTTCTAAAATAACCCAGCGGAGGGTCACCATGCGCAGTTTTAGTTTGTTCGAATAATTTCAGTTCCTTGCTTAATTTCCTTCACGCAACTTCCGCAGTTGTTTATTTTTAGAACACCATTGTAATAACAAAGAATTCGCTCACGCAAACTATTTTTTTAATTACCAAGTGTGTGTAGGTATTTTGATTTGATGTGGCTAAAGTTAATTTGTGCCAATTGGCAGCTTCTGGGATCTTTTATAGACGCAGCAGCTTTGTTTATAGACACATGATTGTTTGTTCGGTGCTTCAACGGCTAGACAAACCCTCACAAAAAAGCGGTTAAAAAAAGATATTCACGAAAATTCCTATTGCCAACATACAAGCATTTTCAGAAGTAAGGTGCTTAATGAGGAAATTCATGTAGGTATTTGGATTGAAAAAAGTTCATATTAACGTATCCCCTAAGCGTTTTGAAGACTCTAGTGAGGGAACACGTGTGCATGCAGCATGCACACATTCTGGTCCCGCCTACGAGATTCGCCTGGTGGTACCTCCGCGTTCGGCAGTCAGAGACCGTCTACCACATACGGACAATCACCACATCCATAGCCAAGAGAAAAATGTATCTTGGGTCGGGAGTCGAACCCTCGCAGCGCACTGCGACTGATCAGGAGACGAAGCGTCTACCACTGCGGCCACCGCTGCTGTCCGAAGATACAAAACGTGATCGAAAAATAGCACTACTTGAAAACAACGCTTTATGCCAGTAACAGCTTCAAGCGTATGAAAGTCGTGGGTAAGAACTGGTGCAAAATAAAAGGTCTGTATCACCTGATCCTCCCCCCTGACATTAGTGAATTCTCTGTTATTCTTAAGTAAGAAGGTTGATGAATTCTCATAAAAAACAGGTGTCAAGGAAGAGCCGTATAAACCAACCTAGCATTTTCATTTAACTCCATACAAAATATTCGGCGAAACATAAAGGAACCTCAAACAAAACGTAGCCAATATTCTAGATTCTCTGCTGCCATTTACACGGTATTCGCTATTAAAAAAATAAATAAATAACCGCGTTATTGCTCGCATTTTCACGCGGACCACACCGCATGGAGTTTATTCCAGCGCGTAAATCACTTTTGCATCGTTAAACCATCAGAGCTTTTCCGTTTTTCCTCTTCTCGGTTGGATCGTTTTCTGTCGTTTTATTGTATGCCGCGTTAAGCCGTTTAGCACTGCTAGTACACGTATTATTCATTAATATTATTGGTTGAAGTGAATATGTCTCTGTAACCATGACCAACCGCAGACAACGTTGTTACTCCAAATTTTTTCAGTCAAGTCATTAGGCCAGGAAAGTACTGTAATTGCGATAAAACTCCAAATGGAAGAATACTTTTCGTTAGGTAATCGTTGACCCTTTATCACATAAAGAAAAATATTTATAGTTTATCTAAATCGATTCTGTTTTGATAGTGTAACAATCAAAAAAACTAATTAAATCATTCTATAATTTGGAAAGTATCTCTAGATTTTAAAGAAACTTTGGAAGGCCCGACTAATATGGTACCAGTATTATGACCAAGAAATCTACTACTACGAGGGATGTCTTTTAAGTTTTGCATATGGAAATAAAACAACACGGTAGGCAGTTTTAAATGACTTTATTGTTTTTCGAAGTATTCTCCACGAAGATTAATACACATCTGCATGCGTTCGAACCAATTTTCGAAGCACTTATTCCACTCGTTTGCTGGCAGATCCAAAACGGCATTTTTGAATGCATCAACTGCTTCTTCTGGTGACTGGAACCTTTGGCCACGAAGTCTGTTTTTAATTTTCGGGAAAGTAAAGAAATCGTTAGGACTTAGATTGGGACTAAATGGAGGATGGTCCAATAATTCTACGTTTTCTGCCTTGTTTTTTGGGCTATGTGCGAGCATGCATTGGCTTGGTGGAGGATGATTCTTCTTTCGGGGCCGACTTTTCGAAGCTCGGTGATGACTTTCAACAAACAAATGGTGGTATACCAATCCGCAGTAACAGTTATTTGCTCATTAAGAGGAATTGTGTTTTGACACAAAGATCGTGACCATCTTTTTCGAAACATTTCGAGAACGGATGACTTTTGTTGCTTTTCATCACCTTGGAACACCCAAACAGCCGACTGTCGTTTATTTTCTGGTTCATAACAGTAAATCCACGATTCATCACCACTAACAATGCTGTACACATTTTTTGAGCTTCCGGAATTAAAACGGTCAAGCGTTTTTTGACACCAATTAACCCTGGCTGCTTTCTGCTCTTCAGTCAACAGGTGGGGTATCCAACGAGAAACTAATTTTCTTACTCCTAATTCTTCATGCAAATTTTTTTGAATTGAGGTCTTTGAGATCTTCAAGGACGCCTCAATCTCGCGATATGTCACATGTCTATTTTCAATGATGAGTTTGCGCACAGCATCGACGTTTTCTTGGTTGACTGCCGTTTTTGGTGCACCCAAACTGGGATCGTAGCTAAGACTCACCGTCCACGTTTGAATTCTCCATACCAACGAGAAATTGTCGACTGGTGTGGCGCTTCGTTGCCGAAAACAGCCAGTAACTCAGCAAGGCATTCTTGTTGCGTTAATTGTCTCTGAAAGTTGTAATAAATTATGGCGCGAAAATGTTCTCGGTTGAGTTCCATTTTTCTAATGACTTGGTGACACTTAAAACTTCACTGTAGTGAGCAAACTGCACGTATTGTTGTGGAATTTTGAATTTAAGTTTACTAAAGAGTGAGGTTACTATGTTTTTATATGCAAAACTTTAAAGACATCCCTCGTACTACTCCCACAAACTTAAATTTACCTTTTTTTCGTTTCTGATGATTTTGAACACAATCAAAGGTTCTCTTACACGGACAACATTTGTTGATATATTTTAAGACGTAGTCAAGATTTTATTTGAAGAATTTAGAGAATGTGAAGTCCGGCAAAACTCGTTTTTTACATTCTATTCATCCTGTCACGCTTGTATAACTCCGAACACAACACGCGCGTCACGAGGTGTGCAATTCGATATGTGTAGAGGAATTTGCGTTAAAAAATCGGGAGACTGCTGGTCTAGAAATGCCACAAAACTCATTTGATCAGGCTAACCAACTAAATGTGAAGCTTGTTGTAAAATAAAGTTTACAGAAGGATTTATATGTTCTTTAGAACATTTCATCTCAAGTAAAGCATTCGCGGTAACTTTTTTTAGCAAATTTTCAAGTTATAAGTCTATTGAACAATCGGGAAACGAACGAAAACAGCTTCAAAATGGGAACTAATGAGTACCTCCTGTTCGTTACAACGGTTAATTGGTTATTGCTAAAAATCATTCATTTTTTTCCGAAAAGTGCATAAGAGTAAATATAAAATAGTAGTCAAAAGTTTAAACCTTTGTAGTGATTGACATCTTCGAAAATACTCGAGCTGTCCAGAGACGTAACTGCTGCTCAGTGTTCACGAACTTTGATTTGTCTCAATTATTTTCCATTTTTAAATATTGTGTTAGGTATAAAATTTCAACAACCTTTATTTTTGACTGTAGATTCATGTAAAGCGTGCGATTTCATCTCAAGCTGTAACCTTCTCCTGCTGTCAAAAATCTTGGTTGTTATTTGAACTTACACTTGACCTCCAAACGACCTCGGTGATCATTATCTGGATCTTTGATCACCAACAGACTGTTCCTTTCAACTTTTCAAAACCTTCTCGTCCTCTTCACATCTTCCCGTTGGTCACACTGATTGGACCAAACATGACCACTTTATCTCACGTATAAAAATGTACTCTGATCAAGAATGTTAAGGTCTACACGAGTTTGCTGTCAAAAACCACGAATTCTGTTTGAATTTATAAACTCAACCTGCAAATTACCTCTGAGGTCGTTATCTAGGCCATATCTGCAAGCATTGACAGACTTCTTCCAAACCTGGATCCGCGGTAGTTAAGTTTTCGTCGCGTATGTTTTTCACCCGTTACAGTAAGTGATACAATGAAGAGCTTCAATCGATCAATATATTATCCGAGCAGCACAACTTAAAGCTCTCTTATTAGAAGAAAAAAGTTATTTATATTGGCAATAAAAATAACATAAACGCTTTAAAAGATACTGTTTCATTGATAATGTCAAATGAAGTGCTCAGTTTCTGTGATTCTGCTTGTAACTTAGGTTAAACTATTGATCCAAGCCTGCGTTTCTCTATACATACTCAAACTCTAGCAAATAAAACTTTCAGGTTTCTAAAAATCATTTATAGCAGTCAACATTTTTTTGTAAAAAATCAAGGAAAACGTGTGAGACCTTGCTGCTTAGCCATTTCAACTATCGTAGCTTTATTTATGGACCGTGTGTGAAATTTCTTGGAGTTCATTTTGATTCGAACTTAAATTGGAAGGCCCACTGCGAATTTCTCACATCAAAAATGTACTCTCAAAGCTATGTGTTGAGGCAATTAAAAACCATCTTAACAGCTGAACAATTGATACAAGTTTATTTTGCTAATGTGGATTCGAGATTAAGATATGGAGTATGTTTCTGGGGTTGGTCAACGCGCCCTGAAGATGTATTTGTGTCTCAAAAAAGATGCATCCGATCACTAGCAGGCATCTCACCAACAGAAAGTTGCAAAACATATTTTATAAGTTTCAGCATTTTAACTGTCCCTTCGTTGTATATATATGAATTGTGCTTACATGTTTTTAAAAATAATGAAAAATTCAAGCGGAATCATGATATGCATAATTATGATACAAGGACTTGTAATAATTTATATGTAAACTTTAGCAAATCAAAAGCGGCATTTCGATCACCTAAAAAAATTGGTCCGCTTCTTTTTAATAATTTACCATGCCACATTACCTCGGTTGAAAATATTAACGACTTTAAGTTCCTGTTGAAGCAATTTTTGATAAACAAGTGCTTTTATCGTGTTGATGAATTTTTGAACATTGCAATTTGAGATTAGTTGTAGGTTTGTAGCGAATGAAAAATTGACAATTCCAATACAATTATATATTGTCTGTATGGAAATAAAGGTTATTGATTGATATTGATTGATTGATTGTTTAACTGATGCTGATATAACAAAAATACAACGGGTTCAAAATAGCTGCTGAGGGCTGGTATATGGAATCAGGTAGTATGACCCTATAGGGTGCCAGTGGCTTAACATGAAAAATAGGAGACTCCTTCACTTGCGTAACTTTAGGCATAACTTGGTCAACAATTCAAATCCTCCGGGTCTGATTAAGCATTTCATACCTCGATGCTCATCATCTGAATGGTAAATCAAAATTAAACTATACAGCTACTCAGCACAAGGCCACTTTGTTCCAAATATCATATGTAATACGATCAGGATGTATAATCAGCTTCCATAAAAATTCAAGCTTCTAAACATGAACTAGTTGAAATTCAAGTTATGTTTGATATGCTGTAAGGTCAGTGATGGTGCTTTTTAAATTCATTTCTTTATTCCTTTATTATTGCTTATAGATAGTTATAGTCAGATAGCAAAAGTGGTTAGATCTCTTTTTAACTTAAAATTGAGTGCTTCTGTCGTTGTACATTCTTTCTTTGCAAACGAATACGTTCCAGAATTTTTTTGGAAAACTTCATTTACTATATATTTATCTATCTACTCCCTCGATTCTTTAATATAATGCAAGTTTAATTGCATACTTATTTGGGCGCTGCCCTCCAGTGGTTAAGTAGGATATACTTAGCCACTGGTATTGTATTGTGTTTTTAATAAGGTAACTTCTTTGTCTTGAAAATGATTAAAGACGGTTTATCATTATTATTGTTCGACTACTTTTGAGCCCTTGTCCGCATGTAGGAACACGATATATTTTGAGTTTTACGCAATGTCAAAAATTGTATCTGAGGTCGTTCTCTACATTATACTTGAGTACATCAACAAATCTATTTTCATGAATCCTGAAACTTTTGTTCGAGTTTTTTTTTTTAAGATTACGTGGTTGGTGAGTATTCAGACCGTTCGTATATCTAATAGGCAGACCTACCTCCAGACGAAAATGCATTATCGCTGTATACATCGGGTGAAACGTTCAAGCAGGGACACCCAAAAGTCCAACAAGGGAGGGCAAACGGTGAAAGAAGGGGCAAGAGGGTCCTGTGGGTGGCAAGCGGCAAAATCGATTCGATCCCCAGGCGGGAACAACCACCACAGCCACACATAGGCCAGGAAATAGGTAGCTTTTCTCTACACTTTGGGCGACAGTAAATTTGCCTCATCTTAAGGCGAGGGTTTTTGCCGCGATTTTGATGAATATATTTTATCGGATATTCGGTAAACTATCCATATTATATTGAAAAGTATAATTAATAATTTTTAGGGAATCAAATTCTTGAACTTCTTATATCTATGAAAAATTGCTGTATATTCAGCAGGTTACGAGAAATTTAAGGGCAAAGGTACATGTAATGATATTTTTGCTTATAATGACTAAGCTGTCAACCTAAGCAAAGAATGAATGAATGAATCTTGAATTTTAGAGGCATCCCGGCCACCATAAGGAGCCAGTGCATAGGCCGCTTAAGCGGGCCCTTATGCACCTCTACAATACTTAAATCACAAGCCTCGCCCTTTTAGCGAAGTTGAGAATCGCCTTGAGTCCAAGCTCCTTTACGTCCTGAGGGTCCAAAGTAATGGACCCCAGTATAGTCTGCCTATAGTAGCTCAGAGCTTCACAGCGACACAAAACGTGCGCCGAGGTCTCTTCCTCTACTCCGCAGCGTTCGCACAAGGGATCCTCAGCCACCCCCATCACGTGCAGGTGCCGCCTTAACGTGTTATGGCCAGACAACAGTCCCACCAGCAACCTTAGGTTGGCTCTACCCAGAGATAGGCAGAAGCGTCCATCCTTAGCACTGGGCCCTTCAATGAGCTCTCGTGCCTGGCGGAGATGTCTAGAGATACTTCTCCATTTCTGAGAGTGTTGTCTTGCAACCCACGTCTCTATTTTCCTCCTAGCTTTATGCGCGGTTACTCCTAGAGCTGGCTCAGGACCAACGAGCTTGCTGGCTGATCCTGTTTTC